ATTCAGTTTAAAACATCTGGCGGAAATCAACAGAAACCAAGGATGCCTTGAAACGACTAAAGCCCTGTAAAGTGCTACTATCAAAGGAGCTACTAAAATGGTATCCCTCAGAGAAAGTGAAACGAATTGAGGAACGCCAGAAGGCTGATTACCAAGCACTGTAACACTGGTCAAAGCAATCAGGAAAAAAAGACTGCTAATGTGTAAAAATGGAAAAATACGCACTGTGGCTGATCAGTGTACAAAAATTTCAGAATTACTAAAAATTGCCCTTCGAAATGAGAAACAATTGCTAGTATTATGAGAAACATATGCTAGACACGGTTGCGCCAGGCTTTTCTTTCATAAGATGCTTGCCTTATCATATCATTATATACTGTTTGCGAAAGAACTGTTTTGGGCAGGCTTTTAATCCGTAAGTAAACAAAGCCACAAAGAAATTCTGCAAAGCAAAGCATTTCATGTGAGGCAAAGCAATAAACGATGTTGCTGCTGTTATGAATCAGTGATAAGAATTTTCGTGAAAAAATTGAAAATATTTCGAAGCATTGTGAAACTGGGTACAGTAGCAGTGGGTTTAATCACTCTTATGAACTGCAAATTCTTCATGATGCATGCAAAGCGGAATTTGATTTTTTTTGTTACTCGACTGCTTCATGCTTGAGGATTTTTGATACTTTAAATTCATTGAATAAAAAGATCAAATAGATGTGCGAGGCTGTTTTTATATTCACACAACCGTATATGGACAGAAAACATTCTCTTAAAATTTCAGTTTCCTAGCATCTCTTGATAACTTACTAAAGATGGATGGCCACCCAAGTGATTTCCAAAGAGATGGTGCAAATGCACTGAAGCGACGGTGTGTTTTTTGCAAATATTCCACTCAAGGCGCTCAGGGTCACCAGTGGCGGGGAGGTCACTAGACATTCTCTTCTACGAGGTTGACCTCTTGAAGTCAACGAAAGCTAAAAGCCCTACCTGAAAAGAAGAAAAAACAACAAATGGAGCAGTAAACTTTCGAAGTTCCCTTGTTTCCTAATGAGAGGCCTTTTTTGTTGCTGCGGCTTTTTTTTCGAAGCATTGGTTCTGCTGGAGGATAAATACCGCTTACTGAAAAAGAAGTAGCACGAACTGGGCGGAGGTGAGGAAAGTCTATAAAATTGTAGGTTTAACAAGAAGGAAGTCGGCTTATTCTCTGGTAAAGCCTGATGATAACCAGTTCCATCTTGTTAATGAGTGCTGGAAGTATGGAGTTCAGGGCCAATGGATTTGGTACAGCTGTGGTTGGAGTATGGGAGCATCCCAGTAACATCACTAACAGAGTATCAAGATATCAGTTATCCTGGAAATCCCTGAAGAGCTCAGTATTTTTGTCTTTATTTCAATATTGTGTTGCAAGATCCTCAAAAATGAAAGGTTGAAAATCTCTCTTCTTAGGAAGTTCACGAAGTATGGAGAACTGGCTGGCTGTGGCAATTTTGTGGATTTTTGCATATGCAAATGTAAAATGCATTGTGACAGCATAGTTTCTTTATGTAAAATATTATGCCTCTCAAGGTGTGCATCTATATATGTGTATATATGTACGTATGTGTTTATGTATATATATGTGTGTATTTATGAAAGTATGTATTTGTATATGTGTATGTATGTGATGTTAATATATAATTTTATGTTCGTGCATTCG